TGATAATGTGTAGATAAGTGGGGGAAAGACAGAAGAAGAAAATAATTTCTCTTTTAGAAGGATGGATTCCTTCCCTTTCCTTACTTGAAAAAGGATTTGTAAAAGATTTCAGGAAAAAAATCAGGGAAATAGACACTTAAGGCTCATTTCTCTTGCTGGGAACGAGAAGTGCTCAAGAATGTCACAAAGGAATTTAGTACTTGCCAGGGACAATAATATTCAGCTCATGACCATGTAGTATTTGGAGTCTCATGACCTGGCAGTTTCTGCATTTCCTCCCAAACTGAACCACAACTGTTAATGGGGGAAGAAAGACACATACAAAATATAACCATAACTTTCTTCATCCCTTAGAGAAAATTACTGCTGGAATGGAACATTATAAAACAGCCTTCCTCAAGCTGGTGCCCTGCAGAATTTTTGGACCATAAATTCCAGAATTTATGACCATTGCTCACAGTATAGCTGAAGTTCAAAAGATTGAAGTCCAAAACATCTGGAAGGTGCCAGGTTGGGGAAGCCTATTATAAAGCATGCCAAATAAAAGGAATGGGGAATGACATCCATAAACATTGTCTTTAGTTCTTACTAAAATGCTTCATTTAAAAACACACAGGAAAGCTGCTGAGTTTCCATCTTCATAAGATGGAAACTCTTCACTGATCTAATTTGAGGGAGGTGGGCAACTGCATCAGGCCTTTCAGACTGGAAGCTCTTAATTTTTGGCATCCCCCTCCTGCCAATGAAAGCTAGTAAGAACATAAGAGCTCTGGTCAATCAGGCCAGGACTCCATATAGCCGAGCATTCTTTTCACCCACTGGCCAACTAATTGCCCGTGGGGAACCCACCACCAGGACATGGGTACAACATCTCCCTCCCACCCATGATTCCCAGCAACTGGTGTACATGGGCATGCTGCTTCTGATACCAGGGCAGTATACAACTGTCAAATCTAGTACTGGACTCCCAGCTGGCAAAACCAGTGAGCCTGATCCAGGAGCCTCTGAAAGGCATTGAAGAACTTTGCATCAAGTGGATCCAAAACACACCAGTTTGGAGCTGCTGTTGGAGAGAAAACTACCAGTGGTAGATTTCTGCTTGTAGAGCTTTCCAGGGACCCATCAAGTGCCACTGAAATGGACATCCATTTCATCCTGAACCACCTCAGACTGCAGCCTTGAGGGGGTTAGGGTTCTGCTTATTGAGTGATCCTGTGTATGTTTAGCTGGAGGTTAGCCCACTGAGATTAATGGAATTTATTTCCAAGATTCTCCTGGAGCTTCAACCTCTCTTTCTGACTTTACTGTGATTCTACAGGTGTAAATCCCTGACTTGACTGCATTACATTATATTGATATCCCACCCTTTTTCCTTGCAAGGAACCTAAGGCAGCTAGTATTTGTTGTTGAGAATGAAACAATTGCCAGAAACAAAAATAAGCAACATACTGTATCAAAATTCTATCCACCGAATGCCATTACTTTCAATAGAAGAGAATTAGGTATGTACTAGTCTTTCGTATTGAATTAAGTGGGGCCTCAAAATAGAGTTAGGACTATAGTTCTTTCATTCTCCATACTCGATGGTGCCATCAGGGGCCCCAGTCAGAAGGTAGGAAAGGTCCCCCAAATGCATCTGGGGATGCAGAGATTCCTGGTGCTTGAACGCACCCCTGCAGCTCTTGTGAACATGCGTATCCAGCATCAATAGTGCATCAGTAGTTCAATGCTTGTGAACTATTTGCATGAACAATTGCTTGTGCATATGAGCTAGGGGAGAACCATCATCAGAAGGAGTTTGTGCAGTGTCGGCAAATAACAGCTGCTGGGCCAGCTTGACACCCTGAAACATGGACTGTCCACACCAGTGGGACATTGCACAGCAGCTGTGCCAGCACTATTTTAGGAGTGTTTCTCGGGTCTGGAGTCTAGCTGTTGACAGGCTGCCATAGACACTGGGTCTGATGAGGGTGGCTGTGATGGCCAGCTGGCTTCCGCCTCTCCCCTGACCCCATGAACCCAGTGCCAATCACAGTACCCAGAATGCAGGCTGCCACAGAGAGGGTGATATTCCTTCCAGGTTAAGGATTAGAGCCTGACTCAGCCTGGGGTTGAAGTCAATACCTGCTAATAAGCAAACTCTTGAATGTTCTGCCCCTGCCCATAGAAATAAGTTCTTTTGGTTTTTCTGTGGACCTCTTGTGTGCTATTGAGTAACCAAGGAAGGAACAAACTCATCTGTGGGAGCAATCTCAGAGGAGGAGGAGAAAGGTGGCCACGAAGGAAAAATAGCTAGATCTTGACCCTAGTCGGGGTCATGACTCTAGTCAGCAGATGATGTAGGGCCAAAGACTGGTAGTGAGAGGGGGGTGCTGGTGTGATTGTGAGGAATGGGAAGAGGAGTCAGAGTGTAAGAGGAGAAGCGTCTTCTGAGAGTCCTGGCAAGCAGATACCTGAGGGTAATATAATATAAAGACCTGAGTGCATGGCTTCTGTATCAAGGCCTGGCCCAACAGGCATCCTACTGAGTCTGTTGGGGCTGAAGTGGGTATGGAACAGGTAAGTGGTGGCAGCATTTATGCATTGCCAAAAAAACGCAACACTGAAAAATCTCCAGGGACACTGCTTTGCATTTGCCTATACACATTTGTATGTATAGGCAAAAAATTGGAAATAATTTAAACAGAAATGCCGTACTTCTCATCATTGTGGAGAAGACTGACCAGGTGACTGGACAGCCCATCAGATAGAGCCCATCATGAAATGGAGGACTGCCCTTTGCCTAGAAGGGCACCTGGCTGGCTCTGATGGGGCCAAGGGTCAGATGTAAGAGACATGGCTGTGAAGAACTGGAGGTCAGGTCTGCAGTCAGATGGGAACCAAGGGACAGAAGCGTCTTGGAACAGGGTAAAGACAAAAGGCCAGACTGGCATGGCAAGGTGGGTGGGTCTGTGTTACTACCCAGCAGGAAAACTGGCAGCCCAGAAGGAAGAATGTTATGGGACCTCATGACTCCTCACTGGGCTGCAGGATCAGCAGAGCACCTTCAGGCTGCCAGAACTCACAGCAGTAGTTCAGCCTGGAGGGCATCCTTGCCCTGTGGGGTCAGAGTTGACTCATTAAAGAGCCAGAGCACTAGAGGTGCTGTAAGAGGTAAGGTGCAGAAGGCTGGATACCTGATGCCTTTGTTGGACTCCTTAGCTGAAGTAGCTGTATCCAGTACCTGCAGTTGTATTGCCTGTTTTAAGTGGATTATCTACATATCCCCCCCACACACACATCTGTTTGTCCAATCAGCAACAGATAAAAGATTCTATAACCCAGCAGGTTTTTTGCAGATTTGTGACTTTTCCCTGAAGGGATTTGTGTCCATTAAACAGTCACAAGATTACAATGGTACATAAATATTGCAATTTTATTCCTGACAAATATAATCCCATTCTAGACTTGTTCATATTTTGTTGTAGCTATTACTTGCAACTTGGAGCATTGTCAGAGGAGATCATCTAAAGCATGGATAAATAGACATGCTTAGCAGACATTGCAAGCATTTTCTGTTTAGATATGCTAACTCAGTATGATGATGATGTAAATCCACAGTTAGCCATACCTAGAAGACACATGGATATAATGAAACTTGAGTTAGTCATGACCAACTTGTCCTGTTGGTTTTAATAAGTCTACTCTGAGTGTGGCTAACTCTGGATCCAACCCAACTGGTTTTACCACCACACCTCCTTTCCCCTGCAACTGTGAGAACAACCAGAAGACCCACCCGTGTGCTGTAGCGGTTAAGAGTGCTAGGCTGGGACTCAGGAGATCTGGGTTCTAGTTCCATTCAGCCATGGCACTCACTTTGGATCGGGGGTTTTGTTGTGGGGATAAAACAGGGAGGAGGAGGAGGAGGAGGATTATGTAAGCTGTCTTGAGTTCCTTGCAAGGAAAAAAGCCATGCTATAAACATATGCTAATCAATAAATAATAAACAGGACCTGGTACTTCCTAAAGGACCTGACAAGATGAGCACTACTCATCATTTCCAGAACGGGGCAGATTAACAGAGCTCCCTTTGGCTAGCTGTGTTGATGTGCCCCAATTTGGAAACAAGCATTGCTGCTCATTGCTGATTGGTTCTTGAGGCTGATTGTTTTGGGTGGGTTCTGCTAGTGATGGTGATGGGGACTAATGGATGCTGCCTAATGTATTTTGATTTTTGTTAAGACAATAATGCAATCTAATCAATCTAATCTACAATTGCTTATGGATAAAAAAAGATGAGGCAGCTACAATAGACTCAATTTCCCAGATAGTTAATATTTTCCAATATATTAAAGTGAGGCTCCAAATATTACTGTTATATATAATTTCTGTCCCACATTTTTGCTCTTGGAAGGAGTCCAATACAGTGTATATAGCTCCATTTTATGCTCACAACCACAACCTCTGAGATAGGTTAGGCCAAGAGTGAGAAACGGACCTTACCCAATGTCATCAAGTGAGCTTCATGGACAAGTGAGGACCAGAACCCGAATTTCTCTGGACCCTAGTCCAACAGTTTCACCTCCATACCAGCTCTCAAATATCATGAAAAGTACTGGTTTACTCTGAAGTTAAACTGATCAATGTGTTCATTTCTGAACCTAACTCTAACCCTGTGTTGTATTTCTGTTTAAATTATTTCTAAATTAATACTGATATATTTGCATAGGTAAATACTATGCAAATTGGTGCCCTCTATGTTTAACTGAAGCATTTTGTCTCATTTGGCAATTCCTGAATGGGTGCCCAAGATGAAGTATATGCTGGTAACTTGGCAGTAATAGGTATTCAAAGCTCAAATTTAGAACAGGTGTAGTTCTCCCTAAAGAATTCTTATTCTCTTAACTTTGGATCCCAGTTATTGTAATTCACTGCTATTATTCACAGAAATGGCAACGTGATAATGACATGGAGCGTTCTTTTTCTCCCCACCCCCCCACCCCTTTCTGTACACCCTTTAGGCAACAAGAGCTGCCCTGACTCAGCACTGTGCAAACCTGGGAGATTCACTGGGCAAGGAAAATGATATTGCCTTGATTATTGATGGCCAGACTCTGAAGTATGCCCTTTCCTTTGAAGTGCGGCAGTCTTTCCTGGATCTGGCACTGTCCTGCAAGGCGGTCATCTGCTGCAGGTAAGAAGACTGCGGTTCCTTAACAGGCAGTTAGGATGCCATGCTATAGAACGAGTGCCACTTCCTCCGTGCCTTGCAGTTCTGCACTTCTGCAGATCAGAACACTACAGAGGTAAGCGAAGGTGGAGGCCTAACTCTGTGCCACAGGAGTATAAACTCTCTACTGCAGGTTGGGCAGCCAAACGGGCTGAATCCTATTTCAGAAAAAGCTCATGGCAGCCGTTCTTCATTGCTGCATGCAGCCAAAGGCAAAAGTGGTGGAACCAACCTATCAGAAGTTCGTACCACCAGCGGTGGTGCAACCAAGTAATTTTGGGTCCTTGAAATGATGGCTCAGCAGGTGGGGTAGAGGCAGGGGCCATTACAAAGTCCTGTGCCTCGCTTCAGTTGTGACACACAGTGTTTGCAGTTCTCTTCATCCCTCTGTACCACCATACCTGGCTTTACAGTGCCTTCTACATTCCTGCTATGTTGGAGCAAAACGAACAAAACATGGTTTGTCAGCCCGAGCATGTGCAGTTTTGTGGTTTCAAATTGACTTGTTTCTGCTTCCTGAGGCTGAACACACTTCCTTGGGAATAAGCCCAGTTTTGATGTAGAAAGTGATATTTAAACATGAGTGCCTGTCACTGCCCGGTCAGCTTCTCTCTTATCGTAAAATGGTTTTCAGAATTAAAAGGGTGCTGTGGTGATCCGCATCGGCCCTGAGGGACTCTGGAACTTCCATGACAACCAGGGACCTCTTTGCCACTGCTATCATCGCCTGCCACTCTGGGTGGTCATCTGGGGGCCACCTGGGCTGTGGGGCCTTGATCTTTGGCCCTGAGATCTATCCCTAGTGACATCATTGATCACTAACTAAACCTTCGAAGAAGCATTTTTACAGTTTAGAATGAGGGATGAAAACCTGTGCAGAAAGCCAAGAAAACTATAGGTGGTCCAGATAAAGGGACAGGGCCTTCTAGGGAACCCCAGGAGAACCAGATATGTCTCACAAGCATGAAGTTCAGCTTCCCTGTTCTGCAGTCCGTGGCACAGGGAGTATAGAATACAAACTTCTTGTGAGAGTCCTGGGGATGGAACCCAGGTTGAACCTGGAAGGAGCAATCATTTATTGTAAGGCTCAAGTAGGTAGAGTGAGACTCAGACATCTGTGTGGCAGCCCAGGGGTGTGAGATGGCCAAGACAGACAAGAACCGAAAGCAAGAACAGCGTGGCTATGGAAAGTTAGGCAGTGGAAGGAATAATCAAGGGCTGAGTTGACCCAGCAGATAGAAATAATCTTTTGGATTTCCCCTTTTAACTGGAAATGTCGAAGATGCCCTAGAAATAATTTGCATAGAAGGATAGGATATAAAAGTATAAAACTAATCATATTGCTTGGACCTGCCAGGTAGGATTTAGATTCAGGCTGTGGGGGAATAAAGATATAAGTCTTCCCGACATGAAACATTTCTGATAAGGATTACTTCTCATCCTCTGCCTAATTAATAAATGAATTAATAAAAGCTGGCTATGCAGCTGCATGCTCTGCATTTTCATTGACTCCAATGTGTTAAGAAAATGAGAGACTGGTTGGCACAGCACTGGCACGGCTCTTCCGGGTATTCTTCCTAGGAGATGTCACTCTGGAGGAAAACTTGCCTCCAAGTTAGATACTATTTGATAATAGTATCAAATGGTGCCAACATGGAAGATTGCCGAGATTAATGACTGATACATGGGTATTAGTATATATTTTTAGTATATAGTAGATTTCACTTTTAGCTTTCTCTCAGTACATACTGTTACTTCTGTATCACCAGCTGTCGCTGAAGCACAAATTGATTGTTCCATGCAATGCTATTTAGGTCTAGAAATTCAAAATCATCTGCAAGAAACAACTTAGTCAATTAAGGATTATTTAATTTGCTTAACTCTGAAGGAAAGTTGTTAATTCTAATTTGCAGATTAGGCCATTTTTCTTTCCTTCTTTGGGCATTGCCTTTATTTGTAAGCCCAATAGAAAAGCAACATTCCTTATAATTCTATGGCCATGTTAGCCTGCTACCACAGCACCAGAAGGGAAGCATGTGACACCTCAAAGCTGGGACAATCAGCCCTTTCTATTCTGGGCTATAATCCCGTGTGTGTAATTTGCTGGGGGCCAGATCTCCTACTCTGAGGAGTCTCAGTACATTCAAAATACAAAATGATTACAGCAAACTGAGCAAGGAAAAGTCAAGCACTGTTTTACCTGACAAATATAGATTTTGCAGAGAGAAGCCAGAGGAGTAGCCACAGTCAAACACACAGGGTATCAGTCAAGCAGAATCAAAGTCTAGAAGGCAGCAAAAATCCAAAAAAGTCAATAACACAGAAATAGAAGTCCAAAGGTCAATAAAGTAGAGCTCCAAACACAAGGCAAGGTCAGGAAAGTGAAATATCAGGCATGAAAAGCTGAAGAAACAACTAGATTAATAATTCCCTACTAGTCTGATAATCCTGTCCTTTAGTAAACTAGACTGCAGTCCATTCCATACCCTGAGCCTACAAAGTTCCTCCTCTTGAGGAATCCTTCTCTGAAGTTGGGTACTTTCCCCTAAAGACCCTGCCGAGACAAAGATGCCCTCTGGGACCGGGGGAGGGCTCAGCCTCTCTCTGAAGCCGAGGTCCTCTCTCTGGTGGGGATGGACCTGGGCCCTCTCCCCCAGGTCTCCTGATACAGAATATTCACTGTCATCATCCAGCTGCTCCTGGGAGCTCTGGCAGCTTCTGGGAGAGGGAGTCCTCCAGCAGAGGCATGGCTCAGCCTGCCATGCCATGGATGAGTGGGGCTGAAGCCAGCAGAGGGCAGAAACGAAACCTGAAGTGAGTAGGTCACCCTTTCTCACATCTGCTTTCCTCACTTCTGCTCCCTTCTCACAGAGGAGACTGCCAGGTAAGGGACAGTGTGATATTGGCAAAGATCCAAGTTGAGCACATGCAAAGGTCTCTTTGAAATGATGCCCAACCATGCTTGAAAGTAAGTCCACAGAAACAGATGTACAAGTAATTGTATAGGAATACTGTACATATATGTCTCGGAGTAAATCCCATTAAACTCCATGAACTTCATTCTGAGTAGACATGTATAGGATTGTACTAACTTCCAGGTGCTAGAAGAGTTCTTTCCCTATTGCCAAAATGTAGATTTGCCTTTAAAATGGCAAATACTGCTTTCTGTAGTGCATCAACAATATTCAGAAGTGATGTATTTAAAGGATGATCTTCGTATTGCTTGTAAATATATCATAAAAATTCAATTATATTTTCTAACTTGGTTTTAACATGAAAACTAGGTATCAAGGAAATATGTTATAGATAAGTTTCACATATGGTGCATAGATCCTATGGATCTGTGTGCAGTTTTCTGACTGCCATCCATATGCTTTTGAAGTAATAATCCTCTTGCTTTTAATGGCTATTTGTTAAATTAATAATCCTTTACAACATGTCAGATTGTCAATGTTAGTAATGCTATCACAATCAAGCACAACTGTTACAGTGCTGCTTTTTTGGAAGAGGCTAGAATGTAAACTTTAGTTTGTTAACCTTTTGCAAAACTTAACTTACTCCTTGTTTATGGTTGAGTAACCCTGATGATGGAGACAATGGTTAAAGGATCATTTTATCTTGTTACATGCCTTTTTCTTCCTGCAAAACAGACCCAAATTTATTGCAGTTTCATTTTAAAAGATTACTCTTGAGAGCCAGCTTCAATAGTGCTTTATGCCTAAAGCCTAGCAAATGAATCTACCATATATCTTAAGTATATTTTACATGACTTTGAATGGCAAATGCATCTAAGATGCCCTCTGTGGAAATGAAAAGCTTACTCTGAATTTATGCTACATTAAATCCTATGAATGCATGCCACTTTAAATTGACAATTGTGAACTAAGTCCCTCTAGATTTAGGAAAATACTGTATCATCAGGTTAAAAAACAAAGGTATGCCAAAATCCCCTAGCCCATTAATGTCTCCACTATTTAATTTGAAATTTCCTCTTCTCTGTGCCAATTACATTTTAACTTTCTTCCTGTGAAGTTTTAAAGTGCACTGCCTTATTCAACACACACAGGTCTGATTAAAACAGCCCAGAGTGGGATAAAAAATGTTTTCCTTTCTTTAGCATCAAGCACCTGGCAGCGAAAGGAGCATTTCTGCAAAGCCTTATAGGCTATTAAAGGCATTCCTCCTTGTCCCTAGAGAGACTCCACTCCACTCATTTTTATTTCCCTTCCTAAACCTATGAAATTACATCACTGTCCCCCTCGCTCTTTGTTTTACATTTTATAGTATTTCTCCACATTGTTCTTCGGATGTTTTGTTTTTTTCTTTAAATGATAATTAAAACTGCTGTACTGTTTGGTCACTGGAGGTAGTGGGAGAGGAGAGGACTAAAGCTGGCCAGGTATGGCAATAGGGAATTGTAGGCAGTCAGCCACGCTGTCCGCTATGGGAGTATGCCTGGCTTAGAGAAAGGCTTTGGAAATGGGAGTTGGTTTGACTGCACAGGTCTTTGGTCTGCCCCTACAAAGGCTAACAAAGGCTGGAGGAAGTAGGGCATGACTCAGCATGCAAAGGTTGCTCAACTCAAAAGCCTTCTGGAAAATTCGTAAAACTAATGACGATACTGAAATACATTTTCAGCATGTGTGATGATCAAGGGGTTAACCTCTTTGTGTATACTTCACTCAGGACCACTGTTGAACCACTGAGGGAAAACAGGATTTCTTGCTCACTTACGGCAATTGTCCTGAGTCTATAGAATAATTTTAAGTAAGTGTTATGTGTGGTTGCACCAAAACATGCAACTTAATAGCTCTGAAAGAGATCACACTGACTTGTCAAGCTGCTTCTTGTTTTTTACGAGAGAAGAAAGCTGGGATGATACTGAAAGTAACACAAACAGGACCAGAAATGCCCAAAAAGTTTAAATAATAGATCTGAGATAAATTCCAACATGAACTATGGAA